TATTTTGAGTGCTTCCTTCGTCATCAAGCATTAGCGCTGGAATCCCCCGGTTTAGGCTTGGCCCCGCCCTCAATTTTTTGTAACTCGGACTGGACCATGGCAATGTCATTCGGCTTGGCTTTGCAAACTACACTAGCTATAAAATCCATTTGGGACTTTAGCCTTGGCGGAAAGGAGACCTGCTCCTTTACTGTTCATCTACTGGTAGTTGGCTAAAAATGGGTTCGTAATTTATGAAAATGTTTGTTGGAATTTTGTATCGTTTTTATCCATGGCTTTTGAAGGTATATAGCTCAAAGCTCTTACTATCATATATCACCTATCAGAATTTTCCATTATTTATAAAGTACAGTCATGCCTTGAAATGGCTAAATTTCTAAAAGCTCAGTTCTCTGAGTTTTTAAGCTTTGTTTTTGAGCTGTGGTAGATGTAGCGACGACTAATTTGGTGTTTGGATACATACAAGTTTTTTTTTATTTAACGAATAACATTAAAAAGTGAGTCTGCCATTTTGGAATTTTTTGGTTAAAAAAATGAATTGTCGCACATGCGCACAATAAGAGCTTTGAAGTACATATCTCATTCCTCTATTCTATTCTTTGCGCCTAGTCCTCAGCAAACTTTTTATAGGAAAATGTATTTTCTAAACAAACAACATGTATTTCACTTCTCATCAAAGTCTTTCCAGAGATATCTGACATAGGATAAAAATTAGTCTGCAGCATTGGCAAGATAGGTAAAAACGACAAAAATTATGTAGCCCACCCTGTAATTTCTGAAAGCAAACCATTTTCGTTTCCTCAAATCCAACCAAAGATCTGATTGAGTTTCTAGTCAGGAACTGTTTCTAGCTGATGTGCAATTGCACAAGCTCCTTGTGCGTCGTATCCACCGGCATATTTTCCTTACTTCTCACTGTCAAAAAATACAAAAATCTTATCGTTCTATATTCGCGTACAAACCTACCTTCTTGGAAATGGGAACTACGTGAATAAAAACAGTAGAATTAATGTGAAATTGCTAAATAAATTATTGCAGATGCGTATCTTGTGTGCAACCCCACACTCTGCTGGTTGACACAATTATGCTATGGATATTATCATATTTCGTAAGATTAATTTGAAAGCATTAAAATCTTGTGTTCTTCCCTAATTTTCGTCACATAGTTTTTATAAGGTTGTAAAATCTGCGTCATGGATAAATTAATTAAAGGACCAAATTTTTCAGGCCTTAGTCATTGTTTTAGTCATGTCTTAATCATTGTTCTACTGAATTTTAAAGCAATTCTCTGCATGTTTGGCGAACAACCCATGCTGGAAATGGAATATAACGCGTGAATCACGGCCAAGTCGTATTTTTACAACTCTGATTAATTTTGTCTGCAACTTCCGTCACAGCAGCCAGGCATATCTCTTGATCTAAGCTTACCCTACGTAACGAAGCTTTCGTATGCGAATCCTCCGATCCACTGTGTATAATTACAGTAAGCCGAGCTCAGAAGGCACGAGACAAAAGCTCCGCGCTACATAGGGGCTTCCCGGTTCGGTACGTAAGCAAATCCGAGGTGCACGCCTCTTGTTGGGTTCATATAAATCGTAGTGTTCAGTCGGATCTGCTCTTGGCTCCGTTCGGCTGGGCTACTGCTATGCTGTGTTCTTCTCCTTCTTCCTAGTGTTTTCATATTTTCCTTTTGGCCCTCAGTGCGAGTGCAAAAAATTCAATAAGAAACGCGAAAGTTCCATTGAACCCAAGTCCTTTGCAAAAAAAAAACAACACACCGTCACATCTTTTTATATTTTCGTTTAATGTGCTCTAAAGATTACGATAATCATTGCCTGTTGATTATACTCCGCTAATAAAAGTCATGAAAAGTGCTAAGTTCTTTGCATTTATACTTTCTTGCATCTCTTTTTCTCTGCCCCTCCCCTCCCCTTCCACATTTTCGCTATAGAACAAGGTCCTTTATGGCCATTCTAAATAACCCAGAGAGTCATTTTAGTGTCATATATGTTTCTATCGGACAGATTTCTCCTAATTTGCCTCTTCATTGGAGTAAAAGTGCAAAATCAATAAGGAAGTGCCAAATCCAGTAAATTCTCCAGAGCTCACTGGAACTGAATTATCCAGTGAAGCCTTTTTTTCAGAAAAACATTACACATCCATTGTTGATTGACTTTACTACTTCTAATGAGCATTAAAGTTTACGTCAATTTACTCTGTGCACTGTAGATTTTACTTCACTGATGAAAGTTCACAGTCCTTATTATGATTATTTTGATTATTTATTATTAATATTATTTTGATTTATATGGCGTAAAAAGTTAATTTATCGCTATTTGTTTTTCTGCTGCTTATTTCGATAATCTTCTCAAGTTTTGCCCTTATTTATTGAAGTGCCAGTGCAAAAAATTCACAACAAAGCACAAAAGCTCCAAACATAAACTCTTTGCAAAAAAAGATTACAATTTCATTTCTTTTTACATTTGCTACTTTTAATGAACATTAAATGCTTACGTCAATCTACTCAGTTTGCTGTAATTATGGTTCGCCAATAAAAGGGCATTGAAAAGTGCTATGTTCACAAAATTTGCGCGCTTTTGCGGCTCACTTGGTGCTCCCTTCCCTCCCTCTCCTCTTTCCTACCTCTTCCACAATCTGACTATGGAATAAAGTTCTTCGAAGTTGGTATGTGAGCAATAGATCCACTAAAGCTTTGAAAGTTTTCTAGCAGCCACCTTGCAAATTTCGGCAAAATTGCCCTCTCAGTAATGACCTGAAAGGACACCCGATAATAGAAATTCTTCAGGGAAGCTCAATTGTTCGTGGCAAGGCATCGGACATCACTGGCTCCATTCCACAAAAATCAAAAACTGTAAATGATTCCTATCCATATAATCGCATCTTATCTTTTGCAAATTTGGTTTGTTGTAACACGCAACCCTAGTACGGATTTCTCTATAAGCTTAGAGCCCTAAGTACACAATTCTGGAATCTTCCTGATAACGCATATTGCAAATTTAGTCAAGATGTCCGAAAATGCAATTTTGATGAGGACCTCTTGATAACCTCAAAATCATAGCACGAAATCTAAATTTGGATGTTTTGCTTGCTCGTCTTGCTAGTGATATTTGTATCTGCCCATGTTTGCTCTCATTCAGCTCATTTATGTAAAAACCAATGAACATATTGCTGCTTATATTTTTATCAGAATTTAGCGTCATGCACTATATTGCCATCACATAAATGTATTCTCAGTATATGGCAGAAATTTCCTCTATAAATTACCAGTCTCAGTCTCCCGCCTTCTGATCTTATAGGATTATACGTCTTTATACTATTTTAGACCACTTTGATGTCTTTAAAGAAGCAATCCCGCGACTAGACATGGAAATAATCTTTTCTAGAAAGGAGATGGAGTGCGATTTTGTACGATCATAAACCCTCCCATTCCTTGCTGTAGAAAACTTCATTCCTCATGAGCAGAAATTCATTTCATTTCATCTTTTTCATGACTTCTGGCCTAAAAGATGCAGAGATTGCCTCCGGCCTAAGTTAAGTCATTGGTTTTGTAAAAAACTCAAACGTCAAGTGCTCAATATTCGAATCAGCCAAAAATTAACAAGCTTGTAAGGCTTCAATTACTGACAATCGATATTCTTTTTTCTTTACCAATATATGTTACATTTCCCCTCCCCTTTCTATATGTTTAATTCCATAAAAACAGTCCCTATTTGCCATATGTCTGTCAATTTTCAACTCTTCAAACAAGAATGTCCTTTTGGAACTTTTGTCACATGACTGACAGCTGCAAGCAATTTCCATCAAATCTCGCTCTCCTTACATGTAAGATGCAATTTAAGTCACGTGAAAAAAATTAGAAGAATTTGGTGTAAACCCGACTGGTTGGAAATCATCCGAGTGTTTTCGAGGAACCAGTTTTTGTAGTGTTACGAAAGTTCGTTGTCTTTATCACTGTTCCAAAATTCAGAAAAATTAGAAATATTAGCCAGCAAAGAATTTTTTCGGAGTTTCACATCATTGTAAATTTTTTTTCATATTAAACCAGCAAGGAATTTTCTCGGAGTTTTACATTATTGCACCTTTTCATCGAAAAGGAGAAAATCTGATGGGCCGTTGCTGTTTAGTTCGTTAGAGCAATCCTATTATCTCGAAATTCTTAAGGCCACTTTTTCATTTCTTCCAATTTGCAGTTGCTAGATTAAGAAAATTTGCAAGCCTCTTTTCAGGGTGTTTCACTTCTTTTCACACAAAACTATAATAATACCTTTTACTTTCGGCAAATTTTTCATTTGGATTATCAATTGAATCAGCTGCAAAACTATGAACGAACATAGTATAGATTTACGAAAGAGGCCTTGTAATTCGAAATTCTTCTAAATCCACAGAAGAACATTTCCAAACAAGCATGTTTCAGCCATCCTAACTCTCTTCCTAGTTATTTTTGGTAAGTAGCTCTTCTCCACTTAGCTCAAGGAGATCAGCTAATTAATTTTCGATCCCATCTTAATAGTCTGCCCTTTCCTACGTGGACCAGAGCACCCATGATTGCAATATGATGTGAACACTACTTATTTCGTACTATTTCCGGTCGTTAAAGAAGAATTCGTAAACATAAAAGAAAGATAAAAGTGCATCTCTTAAGTTTGGCACTAAATAATGCAGTCGTGTGATACTTAGGTTCTAAAGAAGTTCAAATCATCTTTTTCAATCGCAATAAATTTTCTCGATGATGCAAGGGCATCGCATCCATTACCTGCAGCATCACGCAGGTCTACCGGAAGTACCCGGATCTGCTCTTTTGGTTCCACTTTGCTCTTATTTATAGACTTTATTTTGTCTGCCATTATTTTCATTGCAGAAAATCATATTTGCATGAAATTTTCGACAATGCCTGCGATTCCACATTGATTTCAATTGTGTCGAGCGAATGTTCGATTTATTCGTACACAAATAACACATCCGATTCATGCACTTTGCAGATGATGCTCTACGATGTCGACGTGGAACATCCACGGAAGACTTTTCATGTTAGCGACTACTATACGCTAGTTTTATGTATATTGTACTTACTCATAGGTTCGTTTTTATTTGTTGAAATCAGTTTGATTTTGAGAAAAATTATCCTTTCTGGGGTAGCAGTGCTGCAAAAAATTCATTCGGAGGCTTTTTTTGCATCTCTACTTATAATTTTTTCATGTTTATCCGGATTTGCGAAGAAAGTGCTTCTTATTTCTGTATCATTCCAAACGCTTAAAACAACGTGACTGAACTACAACTCCAAAACTTCCAAAGGAATATCTCTAATGCATCTACAAAATTTGAATCTTTTCAGGAACCACTTCTATTCTTTTCAATATCTTCAACATCTATGTATTCGGAAGAAAGCGATCACTCAGGAAGAAATATATTGTCATTATTTTTCTGGAAGCTTCCGAGATCGTAAATGGATTCGCTTACATATTGACTGGTAAGTTTTTGAAAACAATCAATTTATAACACTTGTGATTGAAAAAAGCAAAAATCATGGAACTTTTAACTGAGTATTTTCATGAAAAAAACTCGTTGTAAAAAGATTTCCTGGGAGTGTAAGAGGCCAACTTTTCAAAAAATATTATTGCAGGTGCCGGTCGACTTTCTGCGATTGCCTACGGCAGTTTACGAAGTCAAATATCTGTAGAAGATTGCTTTTTTACTGTGAGTTGCTACATTTTATGGATCTTTTCTAGCAAAACCCAAATCTGCGGGTGCCCTTGACATGCCCTTTGTTCATTAGTTCTGGCATTAATCGTTGGCAGTGCATAACCGGAAGTGAACATTTATTCATTGCTTGGGGCTTTTGGGGCTTTTTGCACATTTGGTGAATGAGAATAATGCAAATTTCGAAGATTTCAAATTAACAGAAGTCCGCTATAATTGTGCCTTTTGCACTGACGAAGAGTTTTTGCTGACAAATCTAAAAGAGAAGCTGTAATTTTTTTTCATAGTTTGAAGAGCACTTGTCTCTATGAATTCATTCTTTATCTAAAAAAACTTCTGGAGATTATTCAACAAGTCGTTTGAATTGAGTAAATAATGAAAAGTCAGGATAGAATTCTATCAACGTCATTTGCTCTTAAATTGCAACAAAGATTCTATTCTTGTTTCACAACTACCTTTTTAGAAACCATGGCCTGCATTTATAATAATCGGCACACAATTGCCAGCTTTGGTTGTTATCTTTGGCTCAATCGAGCGAACAATCGCAGTTCATCAACCTAGTCATTATTATCGGCATTGGAACTATAGCTACAAGCTCAAGCGGCTTTTCTTTCTTCTTGTCATTCAAATGGTAAGAAAAATTGATTTTTTGAACCTAGGACAAGCTAATTTCCTATTTTCAGCTCTCAATAACCCTAGCTGCAAGATCCTCATACGGGCTCGACAATCTGAATCCATCCCAGCATTGTCCGATCATTTGGTCAACGCACATCGCCTACTGCACGGCTCACTTCCTGTTCGTTGTGCTCGCCTATGTGATCAGCTTTGTGACGTTGATGTCGATCTTTCGAAGCCGAAGGGTTCGTGATGTCAGCGTAATTAGTTTAAGAATCCATTAGCCAGCTATTGGAATTGAGTTCGTCGAGTTTCAATTGCATTAGGGCTTGATGCTCTTCTCCAAAACGCATTATTCGTTCAAAAATGTGAATTACTGATTTTTGACTACATGATATCTTCCTTGAGAAACACTTAGCTAACCTATTGGGGTACTAGACCATTACCGGGATAATTGAGAGACCAATCCTGAAAAAAAAATTCCGTGGGGTTAAGGGGGGCAGGCCCTTTTGAACCGGTTGCGAGCGATGCTCTTCTCGCCACCGGCGCTCAGAAATGGACGAGTTCGTACAGTTAAGGGAAAAGCATTATGATTTACATCTATGCCAACATGTACCATCGTGTTTAGTAAACAAAAGTGAACAAGCATGCTTGCGTGCACAAGTCCTATTCTTGTTCGTGCTCCGCCCTTTTAGGACCTAGCCAATCATAGAAGGCGCGCTGACCAGTCATAGGCGCCTGCTATGAAGCGGTGCAAAAAGGCCGTATCCCTTGCTAGGGTCCAGAAAGTAGTATAGGAGAGTTTTGGAACTCACACGCTTTTTTACTTTTAGCATTACGCTAGCCTAGTCTAAAAAATCCGTTTGTGATCAAAAATATAAATTAGGCAAAATTAATGAGGGGTGTGGAAGAGAACAAATTTTTAGTTATGAAAAGTTCTAAGAAATAGTAGTTCCACTGATAAAGAACTTCTTTAAAAATGTATATCTTTCAGGGCTACAACCAAGTCAGCTCCTCATTCCGTCGTTGGCAAGGTGCCAAGAGAGAGTCAAACCTCCGAGTGTTTATGATGACTTCGTTGATGTGCATCGTGTTTATGTCGATCCCAGCTCTTGTCAGTCTTTTGATTCGTTGGGGAGTCGTCGTAGGAAATGATTTTGTGCTTGGGATCTCGCTAGTGCCACCTGGGTAAGTTCCAACTCTAAAAAATTTGGTAGATGCTGAATACTTATGAAAATTGAATTCTTGTTTTCAGTCTCATTTCGATCGGCACCACTATGATCAACTGCGTTTTCCACAGTGATTATCGAACTCATGTGCTTCGGATTTTCTGCCCGACTAAAACTGAGAAAACAACGGCCGGATGTATCGGAGCTAGTGAGATCTTCCCCGAACGGGAAACCATGCATGTGCATTCGCTCATCCTCGAAAAGGACACCCGCCTTCATCTTACGGATAATAGCGAAATTATGCTGTGATTAGCTAGTTACATCCTTAGAGCTGTAATTGTACACATTTCACCGACTTTCAGGATCTCCTTATCATATGTGATCTCATTGTCGCTGTTCTAGGTTTAACAGTGACTATACTTACGGTTACTTTATAATGAATAATCGCGATTACTTCTGTCCCAGAAGGTCTGTGTATGACATATCTGTCTGTTTTTAAACGTGAATAAATATTTCAAAATACGATATGATGATTCGAGTGCCGAATGCGCGCACATTTCAGATGTTCATCCTCTGTAAAAAAAATCTCAACATCCATTAAAAATCGCATATTGTTTTGCCTATGCTATCTCAGACGAACTCCGAGTTGTAATCGTTATAGCGTAATAATCGTCGTAATTCCGCTCAAAGTAGATCAAGTACTGACTTGATGTCATTTTAGTCACTTCGTTTTTCCTTCTTAGGGTGGACAACCTTATGTCACCGGGCAATGGATACTAGCAATAATCTGCTGAGATGCATGCTTTGTGGGACTTGCCCGCGTAAAGTTCTTAAAGTGGTTTGTGGGATACGGATAGGCCGATGGAGGTGTGAGATTGAGAAATAGATTTTTGACTCAGCTCTGCGACTGTGCAGCATTGTCCAACACACATGATTCACTGCAAAAAATAGTGGTCGGGGGCGTCTGGTGCCATCTGGGAGCTCTTGAGGGTTTTTCAGCGAAGTCGAACGATAATTACAAAGAAAGGATCCCGAATTTCTAGTGGATGTATAACACCAAAACCATTTTTGATGTTAGTCCTTTTTTTGTGATTTTCAAACCGTCAGTCTGATAAAATGGAGGATTTATAGATAACGATACTTGGTCTGACGCGACTATCTTACACTTGGAATCTTCTTCCGGGGCTTCGCCCCGGACCCCGCAAAACGATTTTCCCCCTTGCTTTTTCCACCAGAAACGATTTCCAGCTTGTCATCTGCCCACCTCGGGCCGGGCCCTGCCATAAAGTACTTTTTTTTACAAACAGGTCAATCGATGCGAATATTATCGATTCGGAGGATGGCCATCTCACCTCATCTCAGCTACAAACGTGACCTCGTACCTTGCAAAGTCACTCAAGGAATGATCAAAATTGATAATTTTGCCTTCTGGGAAGCTGTATCGTGGATGCTCTCCTTTTTGCCTGATATTTACTCCAGTATGCTCGTAGCTACAGTTACGAACGAAGTCCAGAGAACTTGCACATTGTTAGGTAACCATATATGAAGCAATGGATTACCAGCCATGTCGAAGCTGCTCCGATCAGAAACTACCTCGCTAGCTTGCAGAAAAGAGCTCACCTATCATTTTCTGAACACTGCGGTGCAAAAAGTTTTACTGTTAAATTTGGCGGTGTATGGCGATGTAAATTCTTTCTCTGAGATTTTTTCTTGAAGATACCGAAGTGATTCTTGGCAAAATCGTGAATGAAAAAACGATACACAACTTGCAATCTGTCTGCTTCCTCAAATAAACACTTATTGAAAAGTATAGCCTGGCTATGAAGCTAATAAGTAATTGATAGTCTTGTTATGGAAGATGCTTCTGGCTTTGTCTGATGATGCGTCACTCATGAAAAATTGAAAATCCATATGTCAAAAAAGAACTTAGCATAATGCTGATCAGAGTGTTTAGTTCAAGCAGGCTTCTACTCCAGCACACTCCTCCTATCCTACCGTAAATACAGCAAGATATAAGAAGCTACTAAATTTCGCTTCTTAGAGATACTTTCATCTAATTCATTGCACTCATTCTAAGTACGTGACAAATGCCTGTGCTATTTTGTTCTTGAAGCAGAGTGCAACTGAAAAACAACACAGGAAAGCTTGAACATTGCTTCACACCCACTAGCTTATGTAATCACACAGGATGTCCCAAAAGTATTTATACAGTGCTCGATCGTCAGTATCCCTCTTCCCATCTTTTGCTACCTTCCATTCTGTAAGGCTGACTCCGGCTTAGATGTCTAGTCTGGAGTGATTCACCGTTCGCATCTCATTACTGTAGGTTTACGGTAGGAACCTTCAATATACAGCGTCATCGTGGGATTAGTCTTGTTTCAAAAAACTTTCCAAAAAATTTAAAGTGGTGTACGAGTTTTTTACGTTCGCTGATTTTATTACTCAACTTCGTACGAGTTTGTAAAGCTCTTCAATATGCAATCACTATTTTAGGGAAGCCTTGTAAAAAAGCTAATGCGGTTTACCAGGCTTAACCATGAAGAAACCATTGCGTAGAGTGCAAACTTCATGTTTGGTTTTGGGCTCGGAGTTAGCCTAGTTTGAGTGTTTTCAGGCTATTTAATTTGCTTTCTAAGGCCCCGGACAGACTTCACGCGACTTAATCGTCGCGATCTAATCGCCAAGATTTCCATTCATTTTCATTTCACATTCAAAAATTTCGGGCTGGAAAAGTATCACGACCGAATGCAAGTTGATCGGCATGGAATGATGTTGTAACAGTTGTCTCGTCGCGATTCAGTCGCGACGATCAAATCGCGTAAAGTCTGCCCTGGGCCTAAGGCGGAATAGAGCCCTCAATGGCTCAAAACCCCTCTCAAATTTTCTACTGTAAACATACAGTAATGAAGAGCGGTGAATCGCTTCATATTATAAAGCTAAATTAAAGTCAGTTCTACGGAATGGTGCCCTGAAGGTAGGCAAAAGACTCAAACATTGTATACACAGTTTTGGGACACTCTGTATTTTTGAACATCAAGATACCGCAGAATATCAATACTGCAGTCGAAAAGAAATACAACAACTGTAGAGTGTCCATATCCAGATAGTCAATACCGGTGTGATGATGTTATGCAGCTGGAGCTTTGGTGAAGCTTGCAGATGGTAGGTAGTTGTAAACTGCGGTAGGTACGTTTTATCTTTTATCCAAACCCATTTGCATCAAGACATTCTCTTTTTGAAACAAACAAACACAGGCTAGGTTCCACTCAGAGAACGAATCAACCTACTGCTTGCGTCAAAAAAATCAGGTTCTTTACATGCTCAATATCGAGTTTCTTAACACGTCTGCTTCATGTGAAGCGAGCTTCCACCGATTCAACTTCAAGACAAAACGCTTCAGCTTGTTCTACAAGGGGTAATGCAATACCCATTTTTAGCTATGCTTCTTGTCGTGTTCGGATATAGAGGTAAGTTTACATAGAATCCGTCTGTGCTCGTTATTTCTTTTTCTTTTTGTGGTGGCACTTTTTTCATTGTTGATATTTTTCTACTGAGGCTGGTCTTTCGAAAATTTCGTCTCACGAGTTCCTCTTTCTTCATGACTATAATCTTACTGTTTAGGTAAACACCAGCGCAGTTAATGAAATATATCGTAGAAGTGTAAGAACCGCAAATTTATTAGGGTGATCGCTAAAAAAATGAGGCACCGGCGAAACGTGCGAAACCATCCAAAGTACTGCTGCAATGCGTGAAAGTGCAGTCATCAGGCCTACGTTGGGTCGCTGGGCTCAACTTTCAGATTCAGGAGATATGGCCATTAGCAGCTTCGAGAACAAAGATACGTGCTATTCAATTCTTTGCAGGTGAACGCATGTTTTATAGGTACCATCTGAAAAAGGTTTTTACGCTCTATACATCCATATGCAGCTTACCTCACATTTTATCTATACCGGGAAATAAGAAATCCTCTATGTTTAATATATTGTTTGAAAGAGCATGAAGGCTCTCGAATGGTATATCAATTGCTCTATAACTTTGCGATATGGCAACGCAAGAATGAGCGAGGTTCAAAGAACCCTGTTCGAGTTCTTCAGGGCGCCACGCGTAGGATTGTGGGAGAGGAGCGTTGACGCTTTGCCAGAATAATAGGCGAAGGTCGCTTATGTAAGCGACTTTTACGTTGCAGCCTGCTTTTTGTTGATCGAAACAAAAAATCTCAAAATTTAATAAAAATCAAGCTGCCCTATTTTTTACCGATCACCCTAATAGATGAGTTCTTATCTTCAAACACATTAGATGAAGATTATACGTATTGTACTGGTCGAAGCAGGGAGGGAATCACAGGTCGGCTGAGCCTTCCAAACTGTTAAGTCACTCTCCCAGCTTTAGGCTGGATTCACACCAATCCAGGAATTTTGAACTTTTACTACTTGCTCTCTCGTTCTCATTGCTGTTCCACTTCTGATGAAGAAACTCCCAACTTGAAGAAATGTGCACGAATGGAAGCGGCATAAATTTGTAACAGTTTTCAGCTAATACACAAGACAAAATAGCGCTCAATCCCTCTCCAAGTTTCGAACTTTTTCGGTCACAGAGCAAGCAGACACAAGAATGAGGTGAGAGCAAAATTCACTATGAAAACTGCTGAAGAAAGTTGAAAATTGTTATTTCGCGCCCTTAAAACCGCATGGGGGCTGCTGCAGCGCATGCGGTTTAACACATTGACGACCACGTAGAATTTTAGTTGTCTGCCTTCTGGGACCAAGGCCTCTTACTGATCAGCCCACAAATCTCAACTATAGTTGCGCATAATGCCATCTACAGTACACCTACAATAGATCTGAAAGGCTGACAAAAAAGTAAAGGTCACCCTTAGATTCAATGCAAAAGAGAGCTCGTGAAGTGAATTTATCCCAAAATTGGTCATTTTAACAAAATTCAAGCCTTGATACACATGGTGTGCCAAGCGGTCCCACGCGGTAGTCATTGCTTGACACACCATGTGTGTCAAGCTGTCGTCTATGTGTTAAAGCGGCGCAGCCCCGGCACAGTTTCAGCACAGTGCGAGAACTGTGCTAGGACTGTTCCGGAACTTTCAGATCAGTATGAATCTGCCATAGTTCCATAACTTGAAAAGTACGCACACAAAACTTGGGTAATGTTTGCTTTGATGAGTAGAAATTCTGACTCATAGCTCTCACCAACCTTCATTCCACATTCTTTTAATTTCTTTCAAAATGCATCACAACAAACCGTTTCGGTTGCTCGCGATAGACGTATACACATATAAATGTGCCAAATTCACAAGCAGTCATAGGCCGCTATGTAAACTAGCATATTTTGTAAAGTGCGTCTATAGTTTTAGCCAGCAATGCAAGCAAAGCGCATTCTGTAATAAAGAACTAAGCAGTTGTCAAAAATGCTTCCTTGACTTTTAAGAATTCTTCCTTGAGAAACTTGAAAATTGAAGTCATTAGATTTACATCTAAATTAATAAGTTTTTAGA